ACCCCTCCATTTTCCATGCTTATATCCCCATTCAAATTTTTCTTATTTCTCTCCTAGATTACTACAGTAACCTTCTAACTGTCCCCTACCTTCCAGTCTCATCTGTCTCTACATCTCTAGAGGCTCTTACCAAAATTACAATGGAGAAGGGATTTGGGGGTCCTAGTGGTGGAATCAATCTGATTATGCTACTGATCTACTTAAAAACGTCCACTGCATAGAGAATAAAATTTAAACCCTGTGGTATGATATATACCAAGCCCTTTATGATCCTTTCCTGTCTCAACTTCTAAGGTGATTTTTCTTTCTCCATTCTACTTCACTGTCCTTCACCTAGACCTAATACTCTCATTTTATATTTCCCGTTCATCCATCATGACAAAGTTAACCTCTTCTTAATCTCTACAGCTCCTAACTCCATCTCTTTTCCCTAAGTATAATGAAATCACTTCCATAGCCTCTGAGCACACTGGCACAGCCTTCTATTATTACAGCACCTATTAAACTTAGATCTTCACCGTATATAACAATGTCCCTTGGTACACCTGAGCAATTTCAGAAAGAAAGATAAAAAATAAAATAAAAACACTTGAAAAAAATCTCAAACTCTAACTAAATAAATAAGTCAATACAAAATAAAATAAAATAAAAACAGACATGCAAACATGAAGGTGAACTCGACAGTGAACTATATTGCTAAGCTACAATATTCCACAGGTTAGGTTTTCTGAATGCAGTTTAACAATGGGTTTATCTGGACTTGACACCAACACATCTATATATTGCATAGAATATTGTATATTCTATACAATATATAGAATGGTATTCTATACATTCTATATATTGTATAGAATGCTCTTTATACAATCTTCCTAAATATTGTATAAAGAGCATTCTATATAATATTTGGGAAGATTTGCTCATATTAAAAAGAGAACTCTAGAATCCTTAAGCTAAAATGGAAATCCCTTGGTATAATACAAAATTAGGGTTAAGAATCTCTAATGCAATTGGGAAAACATTTCATTCCACACAACTTAAAAATTAAAAAAGAAAGAGGCTGCAGTTGTGGCTCAGTGGTAGAGCACTTGCCTAGCATGTGTAAGGCACTGGGTTCAATCCTCAGCACCACATAAAAAATAAATAAAATTATTGTGTCCAACTAAAAAAACTTTTTTAAAAAAATTTGAATGAAAACATTATCATGGAAGGTGGCATACTTCTAGCATAACCAAGTAGATATATTAAGCCAAACCACTGGTAACAACTATAGACTTACAAACACTGAGCAAAATGTTTACTTCTGAAGGAATTGGAGAACAACCAAAGATAGACACACACACAGAGCAGGGAGTCTATATTCAGAAGAAGCAAAAGCCAGTAAGATTTGTTTTTGTTTTTTTCTTTACATCTTTTAGCCTGAAGACAAAGCCCCTAGTTTGCCACTACTGCTGGACAGCTCAAACCAAGAGAAAACATTCAGTCTTACTGGTTTGAAGGACCAAAGGAGTGTCTGAGCAAGTGGGAAACTTCAGAAAATGAAGTACCAAAATGGGGAAGCACCATATATAACTGTACTTATCTCTGGCTGAGCCCTGTGCATGCAACAAACTTCAAGCAGCCCAACTAAGAGAACTGAGTCAATATTTCATCTACTGCTCACCACAAGGAAATAAACAGCAACAACAAAAGACAGTCTTTGAAGGAAAAAAACAACACCTAGAGCCTCTACATTTTTCACAATGTTCAAGATACAATCCAAAATTATTCAATATGATTGGGGAAGGGGAACACAACCTATTTTCAAAGGAAAAAGAACAATTATCAGACAACAATTTCAAAAGTAGCAATAACCATCATTACAGACATAAAGAAAAATATCCTCAATGAATGAAAAAGCACAATATTTGAAAATGCCACCATAACTCTCTCACTACCAAACCAAAAGTAGTAGTTCCGGAATGAAATAGTTCTGAGTTTGAAGTGGTGTCAACATTACAAAAACTGACATGTAATTATTAAAGGAAAGAGAGGAATAAGTCTGTGTCATGTCTATTGCTATAAAATATCACACTATAATTTTTAGTCAGTTCTTACAATCTTCCATTGTGGTGTTAATCCACCTTAACAGAGAAAAAAAAAAATGAAGCTCAAACAGATTGGTATTAAATTCTGGGTTTGAGTGGGTAGGGGTATGTATGCCAGTGTGCAGTGATGGGATTCTGGCTTGTAGGCAAGAGCTCCAATACTGAACTACACCCCCTAGCCATAGGCATTTTTTTAGGCAACTATGAGCTGAGAAACTTTTAGCTGAACAGATTAGTGGCTAGCTAACATGGCAGAAATTATGATAGTAAATTTTTTTGAAAATGTAAATGGTCAAGATTTCTCTTAAGAAGCTAAGCTCATTCTTTACTATCTGTAAAAAGTTTAAATAGCCTGGCTATGTAAAGTTATAGAATCTCCTCATGATAAAATAATATACAGCATTAAAATGACAGTAATGTCAACTGATAAGTTGATCAAAATTATGAGGAAAAAACCACATGACTAGTACCTTTTGATTTTGTATATAAAAAAATTATAAACTCTGAAATTGCAGACATCAAAATGTTAACAGTAGTAATTTTCAGATTGATGAGACTATAGGGTGGTTTATATTTTTTTTAGCTTATTCTATTTGCTACTCCCAATATTCTGTTTTTCCAGCAATATATTACTTGCATAATAAAAAATTAAACTTGCCAAAAAATATTTATTGAACACAAACTAAGTATGAGTATTATTTGTAAAAATAAAATTGCAAACACTAACATAAAACACGAAAAAATATCCAAAGTCCCTTTTTTTCAATGTTAAAAATCTCTAACCCTTTTTACACCTCTAATCCCAGTTGCCTCAAAATAAATCAACGGGTATTCTTATTTCTGTTTTCCTAATAGCAGACAAGGTCTGATCCTCATCTTTCATCTAGGGTTCTGCAAGCCTCTTATGGTTGTAGCCTCCCTGTTTCTATCTCCAGTCAAACCCATTCCACCCTCAGTCCCATCCAGTGACCTATCCAAAACAGAAACCTGACTATATCCCTCTATTCTAAAACCTTTCACTGACTCCTCCCTACCTCCAACATAAAATCGGATTTAGAATAGCAGAATGCAAGGAGCTCCAAGGTCTGGCCAATGCCCCTCATTTTATTAGAAAACTAGCCTTAACAGCAACAGTAGAGTTGGCTGCTCATATATACCAACCTTTCTCTTGCCAACATCAATAAGTCTTTTTTCATGCTGCCCTGTCCACCTAGATTACCTCCTGACTTTTCCCCACTCTGTTAATATTACCTCCAGGAAAAATCTTATCCCACCTTCAAACTAAATTGGATGGCCCTATTCAGATTTCTAACATTGTTGTTTTGTTTTTTTGGTTTTTTTTTTAACTGTATCATATTTACGTTATCAATTCCACAAGAACAGAGATTAAGTCCGTTTATAATCTGTAATAAGGGAAAAAAAACAGTAGGATCCCAAAGATGAGATGTAAAAATGTAGATGCTTAATACCGCATTTGGCACACATAAAATAGTAACCAAATGTATCAATACTATTATACACAGTAACCTGCACCCAGCAGAACACGACCTACTCAAATATTAACTGAAAGATATAAATGGAAATATTCCCATTTTACCTCTAAGGAAACATTAACAGCCCAAGGCCATATAGCTACAAAAGGCAGTGAAGATACCATCCAAACTCTTATCTAACTCTACAGTCGTGAATTAATATGTTATCTGCCTCTCTTTTGCTGAAAACTGGCTCAATCTTTCTTCTTCATTTCTAGCAACAACAACAACAAAAAAAAGACCAAAGGCAAATTAGGCTTTTTTTTTCCCCCAGTAAATGACCTGCTACTATAATCATCATTTCTGGAATCTGCATTAACTAACTTGAGTGCTTCTTTGCAATTCAACTTATATGTACTTGAACCTCAAAGATGACCGAAATTCTACATTTTTTAGTTGGGTGCAGTTGTTTGTGACACAGTTTTTTTCGCACTTAGATTGATAACGATTACTAAGAGCATTTTCAATATCGAAGCACAACTGCAGTCAATCAAACACTGGTCACCCTTATCTAGACCTAAAGAAACTCAACCTTCAGCAAACAAGCCAGAGTTTTCTCCGGTATGCTGTAACCCCACAGTAACGCCATCGATAGACTTTATGTGTAACGTGCCTATTTCCTGAGATCCGGAGGTCTTGGATACGGCCCGACCAGCCGAGGGCAGGCCTAGGTTCCGTACTAAAGCAAACCAACAAAATCCATCGGTAGCCCTGCCCTCCTGTACTCTGACCAAATTAGGCGTACACTTCCCAGTTTGGAGGGGGAAGCCACGCACCCGCGGCAGCTACTGTTGCCGACCCTCCCTCGGGCTTCTTCACTCTGCGTGAAGCTGCAAACGCTCGGGACAGGGCCAAGGCCACAGTGTCCTTGCCGCCGCCTGCTGATGGGTCCAGAGCCCAAGGTCCTCCTGTGCCCCAAACTAGGGGAGGCACAATAAGTGGGAGAAGGGTGGCGGCAGTGCCCGGGCTTATCCCGAGCCTCCTTACCCACGGGGCGGTGAGGCCTGCCGCCCGGGCCCGGAACACCAAGGAGAAGAACATGGCGGACTAAACTATTCGCCTTTCCCCGGCCGCGCCAAGCGATACTCCCGAGCGAGCCCGAGACGCACGGCGTGCGCGCGCCCGAGTTCAGGCCTGGCGTCCCGGGCTGCGCTCCGCTCTCTACGCTGAGGGGCGGTGGCCTACAGAGGCGCGCGGAGACTGCTGGGCCCACTGGGCGGGGCGGGGAGGGGAACCAGCCAAGGCCCTAAATGGCTGGGTCCTTCGGTTCAGGCTGGGGTCCTGCCTTGAAAGGAAGAGTCCCCGAGCTGCTCCTTGGGCTCCTGGGGGAATAAAACGCCGCCAAGCGGGATTTATGGGGTGAGCTTCCCCGCCCCCCCGACCCGGGAAATTCTTGTGAGGATTAACTGCCTCTTCTTGTCTTGGAATTACTTTAAAAAGAAAAAGTTGTAAGTTTTATTTTTACAAATTATGACATTCCGTACACAGAAGTAAGTTAGATAGAAATGTTTTGGTTTCCATTTCTTTGCTTCAGAGATGTGTAACGAAGTATTTGGGGGTGAAATGATGTGCTGTCTGTAATTTGCTTCCTGGTAATGGGGAGTGGGACGTAAAAATTAAGATTGGTCGTTAGGGATGGCCTTTAGAGCCTCACACTACATCTCATTACTGTTCCCCGTAATTTTCTGTATCAGAAATGTTTCATAATACTGCTTTTAAAAAGTCATTTCCTTCTTAATGTTTGTTTGGTCATCTCTGGAAATTCCAACAAGTATTTATTCAGTGACAGCTAGTATACTCAAAGCACTGTTTCCTACTGTGGAGAGTTTACCAAGCACTTACTGCCTCCTGATTTTTCCCTTCACTGCCTTCTTTTCTTCTGTGTCACATCCTGTACCTGCTCCCTTCCTTTTGTCCATTTTTTTTCCTATAATAAATTTGTAAATAGTATCTGGAACTTTAACAGCAGCACAGGAATTTTAAAAGTTTAACCTTCCTGAGTTTAAAAACTCAGTTTAAGATATTCCACTGCATCCTCCATGAATTATAGAATTCAAGACACAGAGGGCTGCCAGCCAGTGACACCGAATGCCTTGGTTCCCATTTCTTTGTACTCTTTTATATTAGTCCTTTATATTAGTTTGCCTTTTCTAAATCAGCAGCAATATTCTTTTTTCTTCCTTTCTTTCTTTTTTTTTTTTAAGTCCTGGGGATCAAGATCAAATCCAGGGCCTCAAAGCTTGTCCTGCATGACTTTGACCTATCCTTAGTCCAAATAATTCTCAAGTTAAAGTGTCAGGATTAATGTCTCTCACACCCAGAAATGTAAGTTGGTTTCCAGAGCCATTCCACTTATAAAGTAACCCAATGTGCAATCAACTATTCTTTCTGGAGTCCTTAGGTTAAAATTGTAGGGGCTATTTGAAAAATCTCTATTCTTCCTCCCACTTTCTAAGTTATTGCCTCTGGGCACAGACCAACATAGATGGCAATGATTTCAAATGAAAGTAGCCTAGGCTGGGTATGCAGCTCTGTGGTAGGATGTGTGCCTAGCATGCTTGAAGCTCTGGATTCAATCCCCAGCCCTAAAGGAAAAAAAAAAAAATAGTAACCTAATTCTGTGGGTTTGATAGATTATATACATATAATGAACAGTATGTCTGGCAAGTTAGATATATTCTACTATTCTAAGTGCTACTACTCTCAGCTTAGGAAAATTGGCCATAACTAGAGTGATCAACCCTTTAAATAAAGAATGTGTTCCCAGATGCCGTGGCACACACCTGTAATCCCAGTGACTCTGGAGGCTGTGGCAGGAGGATCACAAGTTCAAATCCAGCCTCAGCAAGGCGCTAAGCAACCGAGTGAGACCCTGTCTCTAAATAAAATACAAAATGGGGCTGGGGATGTGGCTCAGTGGTCAGGTGCCCCCAAGTTCAATCCCTGGTACCAAAAAAAAAGAATGTGTGAGCTAGAAGAATGTCTATCTATGGGATAATCAAACGTGGGAACTTCAGCTTTCTCCTTCCCATGATTTCTTCTCCAGTTAAACCATCACACACACACAGGCCCTATTGAGGACATGGTATAATGAAAACGATGAGCTTTGTAATGAGATAGACTTAGATTTGAATTCTGACCTCATCATTTACTGGATTCTGTGAAGCTTTGGTTCCCATTTTCTGAAAATATAATCAGAGCATTAAATCATTCAGTTTATAGAAAATGGTTAACATGTAGCCTGTCACACAGTAATGATTCAAAAATGCTTCATTTCTTTCCAATGTGAGCTGCTCCATCTATGGAACATTTGAGTCAAGTATCTTAAATTATAATCATCTCCTAAATCACATCCTTCTTATTAAAGCAGCCACAAGCAGATCATGCATTCTGCCTCTCAGCATGCCTGCACATAACAATACTGGCCTGTGTACCTCACTGGACTTTACATGAATAAGAGACAGGTCCAGTCCTGCTTTTCAGAAAGAAGTACCAAGAGCTGGTAGGTAGAAAATCAAAACTCCATAGAAAGGGGAAAAGGGATAAGACTACTGTTTGATGAGTAAGAGAGAGCTTTAGAGAAATTTTTTTTAAAAAAAAAAAGTTTCCAACAGGAAATTTGAATTGCAAAATAGAGCGATCTGGTCACAATGGTAAACTAAATTGTTGTTTCATGACCTTTCCAAATTCTTATCAAGTGAATCATGGATATGTGGGACCAAAGAGGAAGTAAAAGTTCATAACAGCCAGTAACATAACTATATAGACTTCAAGAACAGACTGTTTAAAAAAAAATAAGCAGAATATCATTGAAGCCATTATTAGATTCATGTCACTTATTATTCCCCCAATATGGCACTGAATCTTATTGGCTTCCATGGGTAATGTGAGATTTTTCTGTCATAATTTGATCAATCCTTCCCTACCTAAGTAATTGTTAGTCAGCTTCCTATTACTGTAACAAAATACCTGAAATAATCAGCTTATAGAGAGAAAAGTTTTATTTTTGGCTTACAGTTCCAATGTGGTTCATTGGCCCCATTGTTTTTATTTTTTTAGGTTCACTCTTTTTGGAGGTGGGTACCAGGAATTGAATCCAGGGACACTCAGCCACTGAGCCACATCCCCAGCCCTATTTTTGTATCTGTTTGGAGACAGAGTCTCACCCAGTTGCTTAGTGCCTCACTTTTGCTGAGGCTGGCTTTGAACTCCATCCTCCTGTCTCAACCTCCTGAGTCTCTGGGATTACAGGCATGCACCACCTCACTCGGCTGGCCCCATTGTTTTTGGATGAGGTAGTACATCATGGCAGGGAGCACATGGTGAGCAAAGCTGCACACCTCATGGTGGCCAAGGAACAGAGACAGGGAGAATAGGGACTGGAGCCCTATTACTCCCTTCAAGAACATGCTCCCGGTGACCTGGAAAGCTCCCACTAGGCTCCATCTCTTAATGTCCACCACCTCTCAATGTCCATCACCTCTCAATGTACACCACTTCTCAATAGCCCCAAGCTGGGGACTAAGCCTTTAACACATGAGCCTTTGAGGAACATTCAAGATCCAAACTATTGCCGTAAGTAAATAACAGGGAACACTGTTTATGCCTAATAGATTGGAAAAATTTTGAGATTGCTAATACTGGTATTATTAATGTATGGGTAACATACTCTCACCCAGCAATGGGAGTAGATCAGCCTCTGAAGATTGTAATTTTGCAATGTACATTCAGTTTCTTAACAAGAATTTATGCTAAGGAAATAACTGGAAAAGTGTATAAAAATGTTTATTACAATGTTATTCAAAATCTCGGAAGCCTGGGTCCATTGGCCCCATTGTTTTTATTTTTGGAAACTACTACCATGGAAACTACTATCAATAGAGAGTCCATTAAATAAATTTACAGTACATCTCTACAAGGAAATATATTTACCTGCAGATTTTAGAATAACAATGAAGATCAATATTTAATGTGTGTTGTCTTACAATCAGTGTTTGTGTTGCTAGAGAAAATAAAGGTGTGTTCACTTTGAGAAATAATCTAACAAAGGAAAAGGAAAAAAATTAATCTTTTATACCCATTTCTTTTTAATAAATGAGAACTTTTTTTTTTTTACTGCTATTAACTTTCTTTCAGGTTTTAGTTTAGAGTATTCATTAGTGTGGTGAGCATTCGAGAAATGGGCCAGTTCTTAGGCTCTTTGGGAAGCTTTTAGTCTATGCAGAAGAAACAGCTTTGGATTCCCCCTCCCCCTCCCAATCCTGCATATTAAAATCCCTGTATTTGAATTCATGTCTTCCTTACCCTGTTACAAAAAGGTTCATATAAAATTTCTTTAAGTAGCCAATTCTCCTTGCATGTATAAAATTTTTTGACTAGAAAAATTATATTGAATCATAGTAGTTCATTTGCTGCATATACGTGTGAGGTGTAATATAAACAGCGTAAGTGATATAATAAAAGAGTGATCAGAACAAAGTGAAATTTGCCAGGAAAAAAACTTATTCATTTAGTACACAAATATATTTTTAGCCCCTTTTGTGTTCTGGGCACTAGAACACTGGCGATACAAAGGCAGAAGACCATAGCCCTTCTTAGGAAAACCTTACAGGAAAATAATACAGAGTTATATGCAAAGTGAATTGAAAACTTACAGAAAGTAATGCCAAAGTCTTACTGAGAGACTAGCTTTCACAGAGTGTGATTGGGCATAAATAGGTCAAGGGGGCAAAAGCAACCTTCATCATCCTTAATAAAAGCAAAATGCTTTTGGCAAAGACTAGCACACTACTGTGTATTGGTGTCAAGATGATGTGGGATAGGATCTCCAAGCCAGATAAGAGGAGGCTGTGGTATCAGGGAAGTGGAAGGACAGGCATCTTTGTATGGATTATGACATGGCCTGTTGGATGGGTACAGGTATCAGCCTTGTATCAGAATAGAATAGAACACATCTGGTCCAATCTCCTTAATCTACAAGTAGAAGAAGAAAGGAAAGAAGGGGAGTGAAGGAATTTGGGAGGACTAAAGAGAAAAGAAAAAAAAAATGTCTGAGATTGCCAGGAACTTAACAACTTCCTTCTTAATAAATGATTGAATGTAATGTTCTATGTAATGGCATTTGTATATCTCTGTAAAACCAATGGGAAGGTTTCTTTTGTTAATCTGGATAGCAGAAATTTTAGGCTATGTTCCCTAGCTCTAGCTCGTGGTTCTTATATTTATATAGTCAAAGGTCAAAAGCTGACTAAGAACAGATGAGCTCCTTCCTTTTGCATCATTTTTCAACCTTTCAAAGGGCTTAAAATAAACTATCATTTTTTCCATTATTTACTTAAGAGATTTGTTTTTCAGAATTCATAGTTCTTGGAACCCCCTCCCCCCGCCCCGCATCATACTTATGAAGTATACAATCTGACTCCTACTCATCTATCAATACCTAAGGGATGCTAGCATTAAGATGCATGCTTTAAATCACCCAAAACAGTAAGAAGGCCAAATTGACCAGTAATGTTTGTGATTTTCCATAAGTATCTCTCACGTGTAGAATCAGGAAATCTCCTTGAGACAGAGGACGATAGAGAAATTCATCAAAGAAAAGAAAGTCGGCCCTTATCAGGGACCATGCTTGCAGAAGGACGCAAACAGCAGGCCAGTTTCACTTTTTGCAACCACGTACGAATATACCATGAGACGCAAGGAATGAAAGGGGTAAAGGTTAGCATTGTTTGATAAAATGTTTATGGAAGTTAAACTAAAGGTCTTAATCTTTAGCTAAAAATGTCATTATATATCTAAGTAAGAAGAATCATGAAAAAATGTGAAAATATCTATAAAAAAATATCTACTCCAATTGAAGGTTAATCTGATTTTATAAGTAGGATACATTTTTAAATGTTGATTTGGCCTAAAAATAAGAAAACAGCTCAAAAAAGCTTTGACATTTTTATGGCATTTCCCAGTGAATAAGACATATGTGTATTGAAAGAAAGTTGAAAAGGGAGCTAGAGATATAGCTCAGTGGTAGAATGCTTGCCTATCATGTACAAGGCCCTAGGTTTAAACATCCCATCACTGCCAAAAAGAGGGAGGGGGGGGGGCTGGGAGGGAAAGAGGGAAGGAAGAAAAAAGAGAAGAAAGGAAGAGGAAGGAAACAACAGATGAATGAATTTATTTTTCTAATCAGCATTTCTTCTTAGGTAAATAATAAAACAATTAACATAGTTGTTTTTGTTGTTGTTTTTCTGCTGGTGTTCCAACCTAGGGCCTTGTGCTCGACTACTTAACACATTCTTAAAACCTACTTACAAAAATTTGTAGTTTTCCTTATGTAGAGAAGGATTTGGACAGATTTTCATATAGATTCACTCTTCTACTGAACTGCAACTCCAAATCTCTTTGGGGTACAATTACCCAGAGTACATCTAGTACCTAAATCCTTTCTAACAACCTCTAGATAAATCTAGATTCTGAATCCTATTTGCCTGAAGCCTCAGTTGTGAAGACTCCTTCTGACTGTCATGGCAAGTGCAGTTTTGACTAGATACAGCTTCTATTTTTTCACAAAACAGATTTTCTCTGTTTAGCATTTTGAAAAGCATTATTGAAAAATGAATATATCCAGAGCCATCATGGGGAAAGACTTGTTGACATTCATTTCATACTCATTTGGTATTCCTGCAATAGTGAATTTTCCCTTTCCATGACTACATTCTAAATTCCACATTTTATTAAATGTGTATCCTGAGAGGTTATCCTAAAAGGAACAGATTTTATCATCCTCTACAATTTCTCAACCCATTTAATATTTTCCAAATTCCTTTCATATTTCAGGGACGGACACACTAAGTTTTAAAGATGTCATGATAAAGTCTTGCCTTCAGGGAACTGGCAGTCTAGCTATTAGTACATGTCAGAGTTCTTAAGTGGATCTGTTCACTAGAAAGAATGGAATTTGCAACTCCAAATTCTCCTACTATATTGCTTTGCCCACTCTGAAATCTGATGTTAATCTTGCTATAGTGCAATTTTCAACTCTTCGTGTTGTTGTAGGAAGATAAAAATTCAAACTAACAAACACCATTAAGAATCTGCTATAACCAGGTGTTAAAGAGTGGGCAGACTTCTAATATGGCTTCCAATTATCCCCACTTCCTTGTGTTCATGAAAGTAAACTTATATAAGTAACCTCCTCATCTAATGTGTAGACTGGACCTGGGACTTGCTCCTAAACAATGAAATATGGCAAAGGGGTTGGAATGTCATGTCCACGATTAGGTTTGAAAACAGTCTCTATTGCCCTTCTGGCTTACATACTTTGGTAAACCAAACTGCTGTGATGGAGAAGCAGGAAATTGAGGGTGACTGCTATCCAACCACAATCCAGTAACTGATATCCTCAGCTCACCAGTCTGGGAGGAACTGAATCCTGTCAACACCCATGTGAGTTTGGAAGAAGATTCTTCCCCAGCTGGGTGTTCCAGTAAGACAGAGCATTAAGCTGAGACTAGATCCCTTACACACAGAAACTAAGGTAACACACACATGTATCTTGTTTTAAGATGGTATGTTTTGAGTAATTCATTATGCAACAATAGATAACTCATGCAGAAATCATCCCTGTTTTTAAGGAATTGATAGTAAAGCTGGAGTCAGGTATATCACTATAGAACAATGTTAAAAGTAGTGCCATCTGTTGAAGCTCTGCAGAGGTAGCTAATTCTATGATTCTAGCATTTTAATCTTGTCTCAAACCATCTTAATTTCTGTTATTACAAGTTTTCTAGCTGGAAAGTCTCTTGAGAAGCTTTAGTTCTGATCTCATATTCTGCATGAAAAGAATAATGATACATAATGCAATTGCCCAACTAGACTACATATTTCTCAAGCTCAAAGAGAGTATCTTATACTTAATGTTCTTTCACAGCATGTAGTTCAAGCCCTTTCAGATGGGGAAAGGCTAACTAAACAGTGTATGATAAACTGTATTTTCAGAGTTGGTAAAAACAAAATATACAGGAAAGATCTCTGAGAATTCTGAATGTAACTGGAGATAGGATGGGAGGGCTGCCAAAGCAGTCTTGTATAGGGCTCTGATAATGCAATTTTTAAGTCAAATGTGAAAAACCTAATAGGAGTCCATTGCTGATACTAAGTACTTCCTCCTGAAACTTTCCAATCACTTAGAAAACAGCTTTGATGCATATCATAGCAGATGCTACCTGTGCTCTGCCTATAAGTAGTATATGTCAGGGCAACCTACCATAAGCACCCATGACTCTGCACTTTAGAATTTTAGCATAAAGTGCAGGTGCAGCCCTCAGTCAATGACCACAGGAAAGCCTCCAAGCTTTCTTGTCTTCCTTGCATGGAAAGACTAGGGTGTGTTTCATGTTGTCATTCAATGGCACTGAGCCCCATGTACACACAGGGGTAATCACTCGATAACACTTCACCTCCAAAATAAATTACTTGGACTCAAATTCTTGTCTCAAAGTTGACTTTTGGGAAAACACAACTTAAGACACTAGTGAACAAAGAGAAGGCTTGAGTCATAGTCATGTTGATTTAATCCT